TTATAATTAGGGAACTATATTTTTTTTAAATCTACTTTCCGCATCACGGATGCAAACCTGTGGCGTATGGTTACCGTAATAATTGAAAATCGCTCCAAAATGTTACTAAATTTTATTCCTGACTAAGGTTGGCATTAAAAAATTAGATGTGAATAATTCGGTTATCAGCATTTATTATTGTGACGTAAGTGTGGTAAAAGTTTTACGGTAAATTTTACAATTCAGTTCAACTCTAAGCACAGAGTTGAGGACAAGCTCGACATTCAAAGAAACGGGTGATTCTCTAGAATATCTAATCAGGACTCTGGGTCTGGGCAATCCCATTCTGAAAAGGGCAGGTTAGTGTAACTGGCCTATATGATAAAACTAGCTACGGTTCACTTCACATGGATGCATAAATTCAGTATCGGTATGAATATCGGAATCTTAGAACAAATTCAAATTCACACAACGTTTTAGGTGTTTTCTGTGACGTACTTAAAGCTGTCAATTATGGTGTTCATGAAATATATAACGAATCTTCATATTATGAATTTAGAGATAACTAGTTAGATTTTGCTGTCTCTTAGTTCAGTGGCTTTGTAGGAGGTTCATATCGGTGACAAGAAATCCCCTGAATCGATAGATCAACACCTATCATGGGTGTTTCACAGTGCTCAATGCTTCTTTTTTAATTTATATAGACAAATTGCCTCCTTTGGTAAAGGATAATCACGAAATAGATTTATTTACAGTGACAATTCCGTGAAGTATAACTTCACTCTTATTTAAAATTAAAAGAGGACGACCAGTTAATGACGGTGTGAATAGTTATATTCTCAAAGTAGTACATTGGTTTAATATCTTATGTGTTATTCACGTGAATTTTAAGCCTTTCATCACTCATAATCTTGCTCCATGACTATCGCTTCATTTGCAGATTGAATGGATTCTATGTAAGCACTGTGGTAGGTATCATCTGCATAAAGAAAGCAGCTTTAAACTGGCGATCCCAACGAAATTCATAAATTTTATTCTATAGAGGCAACTATTCAAATAATGTGTTGCTCAATAAATATCTTGAACAACCTCAAATAAGATGAAAGGTTGGGTTATAGTAAGTTTTTGTTATTGTTTCATTTGGTCGTATAACTTTTTACTGAGGTTATGTTAGGCCAAAATACTTATAAAGATTCATTACACCGTTATATTATTTGCCACTAGCTGGTGCCCGCATCTTCGTTCGTGTTGTCTCATACCAAAGATTTTGTAAGCTTAAATTGTATGTTGTGGATTGAGTAGGTTATAACTTAATGAACCTGTAAAGGTAGAATTATTTTTGTACCAAAATTCTACAGTCTGCTGACGGTGCCAACGGTATATATGATTAACAATAATATTTAAGATGAAATTTATAAACTTTATTGGTGTTTTTTTTTATTATTCGGGTGCCAAAATATAAAGCCCAGAGATGTTGCTAACCCTTAAAACAACAAGGCAAAGTTGGGCATTAGATAAACAGGTAATTTTCAGTTCCACACCAGCAGCTTTTATTCTCTCAACAGCATATCGAAGTCGATCAGAATTCCGTGGTTTACTGCGCTGTTCTTATATCTTTGCGTACTTCAGAAATTGTTTCTATCTCATTTTCTGGTAGATCTAAAGATTTTGGGCAACGTATGATGATGGTCAGTTTTTCACTGGCTTAACTGGATTCTAGAGACCGAAGATTCTATCCGTTTTTATTCTTAGAAAATTTGATCATGTGTCCCTATATCGTTAAAATTCAAAATGGACGTCCATCCGGAAGCGAAGATGTATGCGTGCTTTAACTACGTTATCATCTCTGCTGAAATCTCCAGACACTCTTTCTTATCTTAACAGTACTTATGTACCTTTCACACCAAAACTCTTTGTTCCTCCTCTAATAGTCTACTCTGCCCATCTCATTTCTCCGAAATCGTTCACTCTTCGTTCTTCGTCAAATCTATTCCTTTGTGGGATGAATTTCCATTCTACTTGTGTCTACAAGAATGATCAATAAATAATAAATTAGCTTCTAAAAACAAGTTATACTATAGCAAATGTTTCTATTTATCTGTTTATCTGTAATTAATTACTTTATGATTTATGTATTTTTATAGTAATTATTTATGTATGTATACACATACATAATTACTATAAAATTATGTATGTATATACATACATAATTACTATAAAATTAGGGAAAATGATGTTGCCGTCTTATTATGTACAAAGTTAATTTTAATATATTTAAAACTAAATCCAAATTATCTAATCAGAGCTTCTTGACACATTGCATTGTCTGTTTCTAGAGTAGACGAAAAAACGGACATTAAACCTTAGTATTTACATGATCGTTGAAATACAACGATACGTATCGCTAACCATAGATCTTTCCCTTTCCCGCGTTTTGTTGTACGCAACAAGGTCACGAACTTGCCCTGTAAAACAATAGAGAGAACCCCGTGTCCACATCATCCTAAGGTTTATTGGTAGAAAATGGCCATGGCATTAAGTACGCCAATGTGTATTTGTGCAAAAAATGTAAATAAATAAAAAAACTATTTATTGTTAAGAAGTTATTTTTATCCGATGTTATAGTATAACTAGTATCTTTGAGGACCACATTATATGTTCTGGATCTTTGACTTTTGTACTCTTAGCAGAATATATTGATCAGGCACAAAAATTTTTCTTACGGTGTCGCTGGTTGTGCATCAATCGTTTAAGTTTCCCAAATTAATTATACCCCATATATTGCCCAGGTATTAACAAAATAGGTTTCATACAAATATACTCAGTAGTCCCGAAAATTAACGTGTATATACAGATAAACAGATAATATTTTTTAAATTCGTATTCTATTATTGTTCATTAACCACCCTCAATTTCTTTCTTTTTTTGTAAATATATTCAATGTATGGACATTATTTTTTTGCAGATTTGTTATAAGTATAAAATGTGTAACAGAAATAACGCACGTCCTTTTACAACCCAATTAGAAAATGAATTTATAAAATGGATTTATAAATAAAATTAAACATTTTTTATGATACAGTTATACTTATTGCTGGGTAACGGTGTGGACATTTTACAAATAAACACAATGACGTGAAAATTACGGCTTCAGTATTTTTTAAGTTAAGGCAATAATTATGATTCTTATTTGTTATGAAAATCAGTTAGCATAGTCTTGCTATCATATATCCCATAATCCTTAGACACTTCGATGTATTTATTAACTGTATGTTAGTATAACGAAATATAAACAAACTACTTTCAGAATGTGCGTTAATTATGTTACACGTTGTATATAGATATACAGCGGATGTAAAGTATTTAATGGCGTTTAGTTCCCTGTCTGCTAATGAAATTTCACTACATACTTATATGTTTACTCATAAACTGGAAAGTAAAATTATATCTCTGCTTAGATAATAAAGGACTTAATAGGGATTGGATGGACAAAACAGTTTTTTCTCTATATTTTTAATTACAGCTACAGATGTTGTGATACATCTATAAATCATATTTTTGGTACAAGAATATATTTTTTTATAAATCGAAGACAATTTTCTTTTAAAATAAAATACATTTTCCATGACAAAAACTATCTAAGCCAATGATAAGTTTATCTGTAAAAACTTTAGTGAATTTTCATTTAATAATTGTAGTATTATGATTGTTTCGGAGTTCATAAAAAGAGTGTTTTTGGATGACTTTGCCTTTCCTTCAAGCTCTTTATACTTAATGTACTATTTAAAATATGGATAGACTTTTAAGATATTGTTTTTGAATCAGTTCGCTTTCCAGTATCAAATAAAAAATCTCTGACGGCAACTTTGAAATCATCTATATTTATGGGATAAATAAAATGATTGTGTTTTAATGGTTTTATCCTAACCGGTCAACCAGTCCTATACTTTGATGATGCGTCAGTATTACAAAATATCATTCCACCTCCATAACTTTTCTTCAAATTATGAAAACAGGATATGTTTTATTAACTCCAGTCCAAAGATCAGGTAGAGTCCAATTCTTAAAGCATTAATTATTTTTAAACGGGCCATGAAATGTTCGACAGCAAGACAATGGTAGAAACAGGCGCGTCTACCCTATATTCTCATAAAAACGATTCTAAAATTGCTTTTTTTTCTCCTCCTCCGGCAAGTTCGATATGGATATGTGTACTAACTACAATGACTTCCAATTAATATTGCATATGGTGAATATTCGTTTACCTAAAGCCGACCTACCAAAAATTCGTACAATTAAAATGTATAATGACTCTTCTTGTAATGAGAATAAGGTATGAAAGTCCGTCTCAGTCAAACTCGGCGGGGATTAAGTGCCATGACGTGATATTTGGTTTATTCTGATTGGCCGACATTATCAGGTACACACAGCAGCAAGTCAGGTTACTACAGTCTATCAAATTATCGCAATTATTTTAACTCTACCTTCACTACATTAAGGTTTAAAATCGAGTGAAGAAATGTGATGTGATGTGTGGTATCATAAGTGATTTTATATAGTTATTTCATATTTCTTTAAATTTTAAATCTTTTAATTATTCAATGCAAAGCATTTTTTAAAATATCAATGAATTAGAATAAAATTCTGAAATATGAAACAGACAAAATATTAGTATGTTATTTTGTCGACCCAAAAAGAAAAAACATACTTGTCCTTTCTAAGCCCCAAAAAATCTGGAGTAAAAAGAAATTATACCTTTCTTTTAAAAAATTCAGCGCCACCTATTGTGTAAGCACTTTAGACAGCTAACTCAAAGCACTCGATGGTTATAAAACGTCATTGTTATTAGTACAAAGTTTATCTGCTGGCGCTTAACCGATAGGCATTTGTTATTCTTCTGAGGAACGTGCAATGAGCTAACCCACACTAGCGTAGACACCTGTAATTATGTAAGTGGGCGTGTCGATTTCTAAAAATCATTCAGTGTCCTCAGCCCTTAAGAAACATGTTATTTGTTTCAGATATACTAAGCCACAGACCTTTGCAGATTGCATTGGCAATGAGCTGCCACTCGGTTGGGAGGAAGCTTACGATCCCGGAATCGGACCTTATTACATCAATCATGTCAATCGTAAGTATAAATATGCTTAGTTACTAATATATCTTTATATTGAACAATTGCTTACTTAATACATATCTATAATCATTTTCAATTCTAGAAAGAAAAGTTTTTAAGTGTAAATAATATTTAAAACGTTTCCCTATAGAAAGTTATTTCCAATAAATCTCACGACTGTCCCACCTACACAAAGCAGTACAATTCATTAACAAAATGGCAATAATTTTAAATGTATAAAGAAACGACGTAATCATAAGCCTGAAATACATGCGGAATATCTCAAAATGAATAAGTCTTCAAGCAACATTGTAACCATCCTGTCAAATGGTAGCAAATCTCGTATTCTCCACGGCGATAACTCATTTTCGAACAAAGAACTGTTTGCATTGGTTACAAGTGTGTAACCTTTTATTTATGTCCTCAAGATGTCCGAGAAATGTGAAAAATGTTCGTGGTAGGGGGTACATAGCACTGGAACTAGCTATTCTGTATGAATTATTGAATGCAGTGGATACGCGTCTGGCATAATATGTGGGGTTCATGAATATTTGAAGCTGAACTATGTGTTTTTCATACTGAGACTTACTTGGTAGATACTTACTCATGAGGGTAGTCTAAGTTATGATGCGATTAGTGTTTTAATGATTCCTCCGTGGGTGGATTTGATAAGCTCTTTTAATTCGAAAAGAGCTACATTTCTTTATTAAGAAGGTTTATTAAAAATATATATTTATGTTATTTCTATCAGTGACCAATTTTGGGTGATAAACTAATACGGTGAAATTTTTTAGATGTCCTACTTAAAGCTTGAGTTGAATGATGATGGATATAATGAGAAACTATCTTCATCTTCTATACATAGTATAAACGAAAGTAGCTCCCCGCTGTCTGTACGCCGAGATCTTTAAAACTACAACAAATTTTTAGTGCCTTTACTTATAGGCATAATTTTTTCACTCGCCACTCTCAGAAATATTACAAGCGCTATAAATCGAGAAATGCATGCATTTTCGCAGCAGCAAAACAGTCTAATGAATTATTTATAAGCCATGCAATTCCATCATCCTCGTTTAAGTTGAAATAATTCTTATAAAAACAAATTTAAGCTTCATGAAAATAGGAAATGTATATCTTTGTGTAAAAAATATATTATCTGTTTTTTATTTATTTGCAACTTTATAATTGGAATGTCTATCAAAAGATAATATTAGACTTATTGTTTAAAGTACATACTATATTTGTGCATTGAGACTCTAATCACCTTATCGATTCAGGTATTTTAATCTTTAATCTACATACGTGACATATGTTTGTAATGGTGTGTAAATATATTTCAATTTGGTTCAACAATTCAACAAACTCTTATTAATAGAATTGCTTGTAGTGTTTCCATAATATGGCTTGTAAGCTACATTATTGCATCCAGTTCGTACACGGAGCTTTCAAATTCGTCATTTTCTGCTCAGAATTGAACCAGCTTTGTCTAGATCAGTTTAAGCATATGCAGTTTAGTATATTTATTGATCTATAAACATAAAGTATATGAATGCGGATATAATTATTTAAATACGTCAGTTATTTATCTGCTTCCCCTATTGCATAGGAATACATTTTTTCTGTTTTATACTTTTTCTTGCTATCCATTTGTTTTGTCGTCTACTGTTCTGGAAATAAATATCTGTTTAGAGAGTTTAATTTCCGTAATTAATAATATTTTATATTTTCTTAAGAATCTAGTGCTTTTTGGTTGTTATATTTTCTATTTATGACTAAGAAATGAATTTGAACAACTTTTTCATATGAGGCAGTAATTCCTCTTGAAACTATTACCTGATCGATAACTTCATTATGAGTCTATCGTTTTATCGTATAAAGATCTTTTCTTTGTGATTAGAAAGTAAGCTGTTATTTTATTTCTTCAAAAACATCTCGCATCTAAATAATATTTGCGTGTCATGTTTTACTGCCTTAGGGTCCATTTTAAATATTGTTAGTATTTTGTGAAAGTACGTGTTTATATATATTATCATTATATACATCCATCTTCTAGTTTCTTATTTACGAATACATTTAACACTACATCGATAGTTTCTTTATTCTATTCTATTTCATTAATGTTGTTTTACAAAGAGCAATGCTCTCACAAATGGCAAATGCACAGTAGCTGTAGGCTGTTATTATTATAGGATGTTTGTTGTTTATTGAAACTGTTATTGACTAACGTTACTCTTAGTAATATGTTTGCATGTGTTATGAAATATCAATTAAATTTTATTTCATTTATGCCTAAATTATGACTTTTATAATAGATCTATCCATAGTAACGAATTGAGTGGGGACTATTTTAGAAATTAAAAGTTAAAATAGATGTATGAACATTAGTATTTTAATGTGAAGACTTGATGATGCTCGTTTTATATTTAATTGAATGAAATCATAATGAAACCTCGGCTAAAATAAATATAATATTGGCAATCCAAGAGAGAACAGAGATCTGGTTCTTAATGGAACCTGTTTGATACAACAAGCTAATAATATATAAGTAGGTAATAAAAATTCTTCGATAGCGCACCGAGTCGCATCCCTAAATGATTCTCCTATTCAGGAGTATGCAAATATATTACATACTTCTCCGTGTACTCATTTACAGGACCTGTCTTTAGCATGTTTTACTTCTGTAGATGCTGGGATAGTGTGGTACAACATTACCGTCACTTATCTCGTTCGAAGACGCTAATTAGTAATTAAAATAATGAATAAATACAATATACAAGCTTCGTTTGCGATATAAATGATCATCTTGTAAGCTGTAAATAAAGAACTGTATCCTTCTAGCAAGCTTGCAACTTTGTTGCAGTTTTGTGACGTGAGATGGCACTGACCTTACTATATAAGTTAAATAATTTAAACAATTGGTTTTTTGGGTTTAGTTTAGCTTTTCAAATAAGGTTATCTTCATAGTTAACTTTGCAGCCTATATGATTATAGGCTTCATTCATCTTGGGTAGAACTTAGAGAGGACTAAAGACTCATTGTGAAACATCAAGAGAGTGATGTTTGTAACTGGACAATATTTTACAATCTTTTTGGGGTTAATAATTATTCATCAGTTTGATTTAGTGATGGTTATTTCCTTGGATATCTTGAACTTTATTCATTATAACATTAGAGGTACAATAAATTGTCAAGATATATCATTGGTAGGTAGAAATCTTCTTATTTGGTATGAGTTTAATGGTTGATAGTAATTTTATTAGTCTCATCAAACAAGATAATATCCAATCAGGCAATTTCTCTAAAGCCAGTTCTTTTACGCCTACGTTTCGTTCAGATTTGAAATGATATGTGATGACCTGACCGTGTGTCTCTTTATGAATTCAGTAAAATTTATAAACACCTACGAAGTTATGATACGAAGAAAATATTTTTGATAGCTTTTTTTTTTTAATATTAAGTGAGTAAATTTTGTTTTATATGAACGCACATTTTTTTTCGTGATTAACTCATTTTTATTTTTGGTCTTAATTCACGCTTGGCAGGTGTTTCCGTTGAATTGAACTCGAAAGGATACCATGGGACCATATCAAGATTACAGTAAAACAGAATCGTATTGCAGTACAGTATACTTTCAGTTGTAATTATTGCCTAAATGTCTGTATGTTCGAATTCGATACAAGCGCCATGATCACCTCGTAACCGACTGGTGGATGATTGGGAATGGTCAAATCGTATCTTAATTGCCATATAGAATAGGACCAACAGAAATATTTCTTTCTGAAATTTATTATTTTTTGTGGATTGTTTATGTTTCCAATCTGATGCAGTTTAAAATCTCACATACCTCCTAAAACGTTTTCATGTGCTATAACAGTTAAATGTATATATCTGCATTTACTACCCCGTTTTAAAAATCTGTAAAATTGAATCCAAAACTATTCTAATTTATTCTTGAGGTTATCTTCAAGTATTTTCAAAAATTTTACGACATAAGATTATTCTATATAAATAAAAAATATTCAGATCTAAATCCTACACGATCTCATTAAGTAGTAATTTAATTTCTCGGCTAAGTTAACCATCTTATTATTCATAGTTTGATTGATCAATTTTGCTGCCTATAACACGCACTATATTTATGTAAATTTTGACATTTTTACAATGTAAAGATATTTTAATATTCCGCACTTTAACGACATGTAAGTAATACTTGATATATCTCATATATGTCCTCAGACTACATAATTTTCGCTCGGTTAGCAGATTTAATTACAGCTTATGTTTTTGCAATTATTTTTCAGTCAATCGAAATCTAAGTCGCTTAGATTGCATTATAAATATGTAATAGATTTTTAAGTTCTATTTATTGTTTGTTGATAGCTGGTTTGTAATAAACTTTTTATGTATTCGTAGTTTTTTCCATCAGTTATATCCATAGTACACAAATGTATAGTTTGGGTCACACAATGAGTTATATTACATGAGTTTAGTGAAAAAAAAAAGAAAAATTATCTGAAAAATTATTGAATGTATTCCAACCTTCATTCAATTTTAGGGCAACTGAATGAAACCTCATTCTTACATTTTGTTCTTAACAATAATACTTTAGATATAATCGCTATAAAATGACATAAACACTATTATAGACCACGGAGAATGAAGAACCAAAAAACAACCACTTAAACAGTTTAACAGCCGGACGTTAAAGTGAAATGTTAATTTAGCACTGGTATCTTGAATAAATTTATTTTATAGTGATTCCTTATTCCTGTTCCTATGCCTTTACCGCTACATTATCGCACATTACAATGTAAGGAATCCCAGAGTTTATGTTTCAATGTTAAACCACTGGCTTGCGAAGTGTAATATTCTTGGTCATTTCTATACATCGCAATTTTTATTCACCTGATAATATTGAGTCGCATTTTTTTGAATAGCATAATATCATATTAATGAAAAACAAAATACTTTTTAACTCAATTAACTTATTTGACCTGCGATTGCGTTAGTTAAGA